CGCGGCGACCCCAGCCCAGGAAGGAATCTAAAAACTAGGTTCCTACATTTGGTGCATTGGCCGGGAAAGGGGGTCACCCGAGGACCCTCGACCCCTCCGGTGGAGACCCAATTGGCCCGGGCCACCGACTGCTGACGAACGGACTCTGTCAGGTACTTTCGTTTCACTCTGTGCTCTGTCTTGCCGGCTAGCTCTGAGGGGTACTCCGTCTGAATAATCAAGTGGGGAAGGGGGACAGACGTGTCCGGCACCTTCCCCCTTGCACCCCGGGGGACGCCCTGGCAGTTTTCGGGAGGAAAGCTGACGACTCTGTTGGCCTCCTCAAATCGGTAGGCAGGTCGCCCCTGCCATCTGAATCTTTTGTAATCTTGTGGCGCCACTCTCCGGCCGTGCGGCTCCTCTGTGTTTGTTTGGTCACTGTGTATATTGTTGTCATTTCGTCCTTGTGTGTGCGTGACTTTCTGGACGAAACTATGGGACAGACACTAACAACTCCTTTAGCCTTGACTTTGACCCACTTCCCTGACGTCCGGGCGTGAGCCCGCGATCTCTCCGTGGAAGTCCGTAAAGGACGATGGCAAAATTTCTGTTCGTCTGAATGGCCAACCCTCCAGGTTGGGTGGCCCCAAGACGGAACATTTGACCTCTCCATTATCTTACAGGTTAAAGCAAAAGTGATGAATCCTGGGCCACAAGGACACCAGGACCAAGTGGCCTACATAATCACCTGGGAAGATTTGGTCCGAAACCCCCCTTCCTGGGTGAAACCCTTCTTTCATTCCCCCTCCCCGTCCCAATCTACCCTCCTTGCCGTGGAAGCCCCAAAGAATCAGACTCCGGATCCTCCTAAGCCAGTCCTCCCTGATGGAACTCAGCAAGACCTCCTCCTTTTCGACCCTCCGCCTCCTCCTCCTCCTCACAACCCCCTCCTGAGGCCTCCACCTTACGCTTCACCCTCGTCCCTTACCCTATCCCCAATCCCTCCCACTACTCCCTCGGCCCCTACTCTTTCTCCAGCCCCCTCATCGGTCCCTCCCTCGACCTCGCCTCCCTCTCCAACCCCGCCCGAATTAACCCCTAGAACGCCGCCACCAACACCTCGTCTCCGCTTGCGGCGGACTGAAGACCCGGATGGCACTCCCACCTGGCAGTCTTCCCTTTTCCCCCTTCGCACGGTCAACCGCGCGATCCAGTACTGGCCCTTTTCTGCCTCCGACCTCTACAATTGGAAAACTCACAACCCCCCCTTTTCCCAAGACCCTCAGGCCTTAACCTCATTGATAGAATCCATTCTCCTCACCCACCAGCCTACCTGGGATGATTGTCAACAGTTTTTGCAGGTCCTTCTGACCACTGAAGAAAGGCAACGAGTCCTCCTGGAGGCCCAGAAAAATGTGCCGGGGCCAGGAGGCCTTCCAACCCAGCTCCCCAACGAAATAGACGAGGGATTTCCCCTCACCTGCCCGGACTGGGATTATGAGACAGCACCAGGTAGGGAGAGTCTCCGAATCTATCGCCAGGCTCTGTTGGCGGGTCTCAAGGGGGCAGGGAAACGCCCCACCAATTTGGCCAAGGTAAGGACCATAATTCAGGGAAAGGACGAAAACCCGGCAGCCTTTATGGAAAGACTTCTGGAAGGGTTCCGAATGTATACCCCATTTGATCCAGAGGCTCTAGAACATAAGGCTACCGTGGCCATGTCGTTCATAGACCAAGCAGCACCAGATATTAAAGGAAAACTCCAAAGATTAGATGGGATCCAGACCTATGGATTACAGGAATCAGTCAGAGAGGCAGAAAAAGTGTATAATAAGAGAGAAACCCCTGAGGAAAGGGAGGCCAGGCTAGCGAAGGAACAAGAGGAACGGGAGGATCGAAGAGACCGAAAGAGAGATAAGCACTTGACAAAAATCCTGGCAGCAGTATTAACGGAGAAAGGGTCAGGGAGACAGGGGGAGAAGCGGAGGCGGCCTAAAGTAGACAAGGACCAGTGCGCCTACTGCAAAGAACAAGGGCATTGGATCAAGGACTGCCCCAAGCGTCCTAGAGACCAGAAGAAACCTGCCCCTGTCCTCACCTTAGGTGGACACGGGCGCCCAGCACTCAGTTTTGACCAAGGCAAACGGGCCCCTGTCCTCTCGTACATCTTGGGTCCAGGGGGCAACAGGAGGAAAAATGCACAAATGGACTAACCACCGGACAGTTAACCTTGGGCAAGGAATGGTGACACATTCCTTCTTGGTGGTACCTGAATGTCCATACCCCCTTCTGGGACGAGATCTCCTAACCAAACTCGGAGCTCAGATCCACTTTTCCGAGGCAGGGGCCCAAGTGTTAGACCGAGACGGCCAGCCCATCCAAATTTCGACTGTGTCTCTGCAAGATGAACACCGGCTTTTTGACACCCCGGTCACCACCAGCCTCCCTGATGTTTGGTTACAAGATTTTCCCCAAGCTTGGGCGGAAACGGGAGGACTTGGGCGGGCCAAGTGTCAAGCCCCAATTATAATTGATCTAAAGCCCACGGCGGTGCCTGTGTCTATCAAACAATATCCCATGAGCCGAGAGGCTCATATGGGTATTCGGCAGCACATTATCAAATTTCTAGAACTTGGAGTTTTGCGACCTTGTTGCTCACCCTGGAATACTCCTCTTCTGCCAGTAAAAAAGCCTGGTACCCAGGATTACAGGCCCGTCCAAGATTTGAGAGAAATTAACAAAAGAACTGTGGCTATCCATCCCACGGTCCCCAATCCTTACAACTTGCTCAGTACCTTAAAACCAGACTACAGCTGGTATACAGTACTGGACTTAAAAGATGCCTTCTTTTGTTTACCCCTGGCCCCCCAAAGCCAGGAACTCTTTGCCTTTGAGTGGAAAGACCCTGAGAGAGGAATCTCAGGCCAATTGACCTGGACCCGACTTCTCCAAGGGTTCAAGAACTCTCCCACTCTCTTTGATGAGGCTCTCCACCGGGACCTAACCGACTTCCGGACCCAGCATCCAGAAGTGACCTTGCTCCAGTATGTAGATGACCTCCTCCTGGCGGCCCCCACAAAGGAAGCCTGCATGCAAGGTACTAGGCATCTACTCCAGGAACTGGGTGAAAAAGGATACCGGGCATCCGCCAAGAAGGCACAAATTTGTCAGACCAAGGTAACCTACCTGGGGTACATACTGAGTGAGGGGAAAAGGTGGCTCACCCCTGGGCACATAGAGACTGTAGCTCGCATTCCACCGCCCCGGAATCCCAGAGAGGTGCGTGAATTCCTGGGAACTGCTGGGTTCTGTCGCTTGTGGATACCCGGTTTCGCTGAACTGGCCGCCCCCCTTTTACCCTCACCAAGGGAAGCACCCCTTTTACCTGGCAGGAGGAACATCAATTGGCTTTTGAGACTCTAAAGAAAGCACTCCTCTCTGCCCCAGCCCTTGGGTTACCGGATACCTCAAAACCTTTCACCCTCTTCTTAGATGAGAGGCAAGGAATTGCAAAAGGAGTCTTAACCCAGAAATTAGGGCCCTGGAAGAGACTGGTAGCGTATCTGTCTAAAAAGCTAGATCCTGTAGCAGCCGGTTGGCCCCCGTGTCTCCGCATCATGGCAGCCACTGCCATGTTAGTCAAAGACTCTGCTAAGTTAACCCTTGGGCAGCCATTGACTGTTATTACTCCACATGCTCTAGAGGCCATAGTGCGACAGCCCCCGGACCGGTGGATTACCAATGCACGCTTGACCCACTACCAGGCCCTCCTATTGGACACAGACCGCGTCCGGTTTGGCCCTCCGGTCACCCTGAACCCTGCAACGCTGCTGCCGCTACCAGAAGACCAACTGAGCCCTCACGACTGTCGGCAGGTGTTGGCAGAAACCCACGGAACGCGGGAGGACCTCAAGGACACAGAACTCCCAGACGTGGACCACACATGGTATACAGACGGCAGCAGCTATCTTGACTCAGGTACCCGGAGGGCGGGAGCGGCAGTGGTAGATGGCCACACCACCATTTGGGCACAGTCACTGCCCCCTGGTACGTCTGCACAAAAGGCTGAGCTAATAGCACTAACAAAGACCCTAGAGCTGTCCAAGGGGAAAAAGGCTAATATTTATACAGATAGCCGATATGCTTTTGCAACGGCTCATACCCATGGAAGTATTTATGAAAGAAGAGGTCTCCTAACATCAGAGGGGAAAGAAATCAAGAACAAAGCTGAAATAATTGCCTTATTAAAAGCCCTCTTCCTCCCATGAGAAGTAGCCATAATCCACTGTCCCGGACATCAGAAAGGACAGGATCCAGTTGCAGTGGGAAACAGACAGGCAGACCACGTGGCCAAGCAGGCAGCCATGGCAAAAGTACTAACCTTAGCCTCAGAACCCAACAAAACCGACCAGGATGGACACACCTACACCCCAGAAGACCAGGAAGAGGCAAGAGCCATAGGAGCTATAGAAAACAAGGACACCAAGAACTGGGAAAAAGAAGGGAAGACAGTCCTCCCACAAAAAGAAGCCATGGCTATGATCCAGCAGATGCACGCCTGGACACACTTAGGTAGCCGGAAGTTAAAAATGTTGATTGAAAAAACTGACTTTCTAATTCCTAAGGCAAGTACTCTAATAGAACAGGTGACTTCTGCCTGCAAGGTCTGTCATCAGGTGAACGCTGGGGCTACTCGAGTGCCAGCAGGAATACGAACCCGTGGCAGCCGCCCGGGGGCTTATTGGGAGGTAGACTTCACTGAAGTAAAACCTCACTATGCTGGGTATAAGTACTTACTAGTGTTTGTAGATACCTTTTCAGGATGGGTAGAAGCCTACCCCACCCGGCAAGAAACGGCACACATAGTAGCCAAGAAGATTCTGGAAGAAATCTTTCCTAGATTTGGACTTCCCAAGGTAATTGGGTCAGACAATGGGCCGGCCTTCGTTTCCCAGGTAAGTCAGGGGCTAGCCAGGATACTGGGGATTAATTGGAAATTGCATTGTGCTTATAGACCCCAGAGCTCAGGACAGGTAGAAAGAATGAATAGAACAATAAAGAGACCCTTACTAAATTGACCTTAGAGACTGGCTTAAAAGATTGGAGATGCCTCCTATCTCTAGCTCTATTAAGAGCCCGGAATATGCCTAACCGCTTTGGGCTCACTCCATATGAAATCCTCTACGGAGGACCTCCCCCTTTGTCGACTCTACTTGACTCCTTTTCTCCCTCCAACTCTAAGACTGACCTGCAGGCCCGGCTAAAAGGACTACAAGCAGTACAGGCCCAAATCTGGGCCCCCTTGGCAGAACTGTACCGGCCAGGACATTCGCAGACCAGCCTCCCCTTCTAGGTGGGGGACTCCGTCTACGTTAGACGACACCGTTCTCAAGGACTGGAGCCTCGGTGGAAAGGACCCTACATTGTTCTCCTGACCACACCCACAGCCATAAAGGTTGACGGAATCGCCACTTGGATCCACACATCCCACGCCAAGGCTGCTCCAGAGACGCCCGGACCACCTGGGACATGGAGACTCCGTCGCTCCGAGGACCCCCTCAAGATAAGACTCACTCGTACCTAACCCTTTACTTACTACTATCCCTCCTTCCCCGCGTCGCTGACACCAAAAACCCCCACCAACCTTTTAACCTAACCTGGAGAGTAACTAATTTTAATACCCATGAAGTCCTATATGAGACTTCACAAATTGCCCCTGTGGGAACTTGGTTCCCTGACCTCTATCTCAACCTAGATAAAGTAGCAGGGGTAGATAACATGGAAGGGGGAGCATGGAGAAAACAGGCTAGAAGGGTGTCCATAAGCCGGAACGGGTTCTATGCCTGCCCCGGATTCCGGACAGGAAAAATGAAACAAACTTGCGGGGATATAACTTCCCTGTATTGTGCTAGCTGGACTTGTGTAACTACTAATGATGGAGAATGGAAATGGGCCACAACACCATGGTACATATCCATGTCCTTTGTTAAGCCCTGCACCAGAACCCGGTATTCGGCCGATTATAATCTGGTCTGCATCAAATTCAAAAAAGCGGCGAAATCTGATGGCCGATGGATGTCAGGGTTAATATGGGGCCTATATTTACACCAAAAGCCACTGTTTGGGATCCCCATCCAAATTAGGCTAGCAGTCAGCCCTGCCTCAGCTCCTGTCTCAATAGGGCAAAACCCAGTTTTACCAGAAGCAAGGCCTCCTCAGCCGGAGGCCCCTCAGGGCCCTCAGCCAAAGGCCCCTCAAGGCACTACCCTGCCCTTGAGTTCTCCGGGCTTAGGTGACAGGCTCCTTAATCTCATAAAGGGCTCTTACTTTGCCTTGAACCAGACCAGGCCAGAATCCACCTCCTCTTGTTGGCTGTGCCTAGCGACAGCCCCCCCTTATTATGAGGGCATTGCCTCCACTAATAATTTCACCAACTCCACTAATCCTACTGGATGTGCATGGGATCAGCATAAAAAGCTGACCCTGGCTGAAGTTTCCGGGTCAGGAATCTGTATAGGAAAGGTGCCCACTAGCCATCAGCATCTCTGTGACAAGATTCTGACAGTGCCTAGCTCCAATCACTATTTGGTCCCTTCCAGGACAGACTGGTGGGCTTGCAACACTGGACTCACTCCCTGTGTATCCACAGCAGCGTTTAACCGCAGCACAGACTACTGCGTGTTAGTACAGTTTGTTCCCCGAGTATACTATCACTCTGGAGACTCCTTTGACCTCCGGTATGAACAGAAAGCTTATAGTAGACCCAAAAGAGAACCTGTCTCACTCACCCTCGCTGTAATGCTAGGAGTGGGGGTAGCAGCTGGGGTTGGGACCGGAACAGCAGCTTTAGTACGTGGTAGCTACCATCTGCAACAACTTAGGGCAGCCATGGATGAGGACCTTAGAGCCATAGAACACTCTATTTCAAAACTTGAAGAATCTCTAACCTCTCTGTCTGAAGTTGTATTGCAAAACCGGCGAGGACTAGAAATTGTGTTCTTAAAGGAAGGTGGGCTCTGTGCAGCCCTCAAAGAACAATGTTGCTTTTACGCAGACCATTCAGGAGTGGTTAAAGATTCTATGGCAAAACTAAGAGAAAGATTAGACAAACGAAAAAAGGAAAGAGAGTCTCAACAAAATTGGTTTGAAAGCTGGTACAACCAGTCCCCTTGGTTCAGCACCTTAGTCTCCACCATCTTAGGCCCCCTTATCCTACTCATGCTCATCCTGACTCTCGGGCCATGTATACTTAACCGCTTGCTCACCTTTATTAAAGATAAGTTAAACATTGTGCAGGCTATGGTCCTGACCCAACAGTACCAAGCCCTCAGGACAGAAGAGGAGGCTCAAGATTGAGCCTCTTGGTCACAAAAAGAGGAGGAAATGAAAATAGATTTAGAAACTTAGGAGCCTTTAGAAACTTAGAAACCTTTAGACTTTTAGACTTATAAACTT